CCCCAAAACCCCAAAACCCCAAAACCCCAAAACCCCAAAACCCCAATAGGGATGAGTTTTATTGATTGTCTTATTTTTAACGATTTTGTGGAGGTATAGTACACGAAAGGAAGCCCAGTTAGGTCTTAAATTGTGACTTTTGGTGAAGTTTTCTTCTTGCTGGACTAAAAGCTCCTTCAATGATATTTGATTTTTGGATATGATGGCACTTCTTCATATTCTTGATATTTTGAGCTTGAATTTTATTAGCTTTAAAATCACTATATTTTCTAGTGAAACTGTAATTTTTCGATTTAGAATTTTTCCTAAATTTTTCCATTAAAATCTCCGTCTTCGACAAACTTCTATTTTGTTTAACTCTAGAAGCCATGAATATCATACGAGTTTTGCTTGGTTTTACTCTTTGAGAAGGAGAATTCTAAAGTGTTAAAAATTGAGACAAACTTTGTCTCTATCTTGATGCTTTCTAATAAAATCTCTATACCTCTTCATTCCTCATTCTATGTTATTTTACTGATATAATTACTCGAAGGATCATTGGGAGGAGGAAGACTCGACTTCGCATTCTTTCAAGAATATATCCTCTCATAAATAGATGTTGGTGCTTCTTTTACACTATTAAGTCTATTTGCCAGCTTGTTAGTCTTATTCTTATCCTTATCCTTATTTAGCGAACAAACTAAGCATTTTTCCTTTGCCAATCTTCTTCTTTGCAAGCCTCTCTCTTCTAGAATCCTCAGCTTCATTTGTCTTTATTCGGAATTGATTAATGACTTCTTGAGCGAATTTCAGCTCATTTTTGATATCTTGAAATAAACAGATGAGCTTACGTGTTCTCTTATTGGTTAGCTTTTTGTTTTTCAAAATGATCAGCTTGGACTTCTTCCCTGTGTGTCTGTCTGAGCCAATTTTATCCGAACAATTCTCTTGCTTTTCTTTGTCTAGAATATGAGAAATCAGGTACATTTCAAGTAGGCTTGATAAGCATGTTTGAGAAGCCATTTCTTCCAGCAGTTCTTTACTTCTAAATACTGCATATATTTCCTCTGTGAGATTTGGTATTGCTGGATGACCTGAACTCTGATTGGATCTACCGAATTCAGTGTCAATTTATTATTTATAAGCCTCCAATTGTTTCTCTTTCTTATTTAGCTTCCGTTTAACCATTTTCTTATTTCCTTGTAAAGGAGAGAGGATTTAGTGATGAAAGCCCTAGAAATTAATCAAAATGTCTAAACCTGCAGTAGAATGTAAGTTTGTATTAGAGCCTAATTTTCTGAATGGCTTCTTCATCTCCCTCGCGCTTGGAATCTAGACATTAGCTATCTCGTATACTTCTTTCGTATTTATTTGATTTTTACTCATTTGGAAATCATTGGTATGACTTTTTATGAAATGAGTAAGTCCTCTAGTTAACTTTTTCCTTTTGAACAACTTCTCCTCAGATTGTTTATCAGCACCAGGGATATTTAGGAAATCTTTTTGTGACAGCTAAATATCATTAGAAACACTATAAAATCCCAGAGCATGACAAAACTGAATCCTCCTCCGAATTTTTCCCAGTGTGGAGATAGGCCAAAAATGATCTCCAGTATATGTTATTATCTTATGGTAAACTAGGAATTTTTCACTCAAAATTCTGCTCAAATCTGGAAAACTAATGTACCTGGATATCAATATTCCTCTGAGATATACATCCAGACAGAGACTGTGACTTATGTGACAGGCCTTGAGCCACATCTTGAGGTACGAAAGTCCGGTTGGTCATGGTCTTATTTTCTATTTTATCCAGTACGATTGTCTTCGTACTAAACTTCTCTTTACTGGCGACTTGGTTCATAGTCTAAAGTTGTGAGGGTTTTATCAGCAGGAAATTATCGAAATGGACCAGATTAGCTTGAGACGAGTTTTTGGCTCTGGTGCAGGTTTATTCATAGTATTTATTACATTTGACAAATCCTGGGATCGGTTAATTATATATAATCAACGCATGATTTAATTTTGGGGTTTTGGGGTTTTGGGGTTTTGGGG